TGATTTTCAGATACCTGTACCACACTTGAATCGGTGCCTGAATGAGTTTCTCCATAGTTATACAGTCTACAGCACGGAGGCGACTTTTGCATATAACCACAAATTCTCAATGGGATTTGCGTCTGGGGAATTCCCTGGCGAATCAAGTACCTGCATTTGCTGCTCTGTCATGAATTTCTTCACCACTTTCGATGTGTGACAGGGGATAGGTCCTGCTGCAATATCCCAGTACCATCAGGATACCTATTTTCCAGCTCTGGAATAACTCTCTTTCATAGAACATGTGTATCATTCATTCTATTGGCTGCAGGCTTCCGACACCATAATGATCCAACTGACTTTTCATGTTTGTTTTGAGTACAGGATTATGAGTAAAATAGAAAACATCGTTTTTTCAATTAATTTGCACAAGGGTGTATATTATCGCAGATTGCTAGCTGTACATCCTATTTTGCTGTCTGGGTCCCTACAATAAGAAAATATCCATTAAGCCATGTTAGGTTCCATTTTGCATAGTTAGACTGTTGCTTTCAGTACAGTAATGTATACTTGTTGCTGACTTCCTGTAGAAACCCAGTTTTCTCAAGGCAGGGTTTCTGTTTGGGGTATTTCCCCAGCACTCAAACTAGTACCGTATTTTTCGCCCTATAGGACACACTTTTCCCCCTCCAAAAATGAAGGGGAAATGTGTGTGCATCCTATGGGGCGAATGCAGGCTTTCGCTGAAGCCTGGAGAGCAAGAGGGGTCAGTGCGCACCGACCCCTCTCGCTCTCCAGGCTTCAGGAAGCTCTCCGCAAGCCTTGGGAGCCCACGGGAGTTTCCTTCGGGCTCCCTAGGCTTGCGGATAGCAGCCTGCATCTCGAAGCCTGGGGCACGCTGCACAGCGCGCCCCGGGCTTCGGTTCCCCGACCTGGTTTGGAGGCTGGCGGTGGGGAGAAGCGCGCTTCTCCCTGCCGCCAGCCCCACAAGCTCGGGGGACAGCGGGGAGGCAGAGCGCCACCATCCCGCTGTTCCCTGACCTGGTTTGGGCTTCAGGCAGATATCCGCAAGGCGTGGGAGCCCGGCGGGAAGTCGCGCCTGTCTCCCAAGGCTTGCGGAGAGCTGCCTGTTCTGGGGGCTGGGGTCGGGGGAAGCTTGGGCTTCCCTCGCCCCAGCCCCGTGCCTGGGGGGGAAATAATTTTTTTTTCTTTATTTCCCCCCCCAAAAAAAACTAGGTGCGTCCTATGGGCCGGTGCACCCTATGGGGTGAAAAATACGGTACTTTGGAGTGCTAAGAAAACATGATTCCATTCTCTCCTCTAGCTGCTGCTACAGCATTATCATATGGGGGGAAAATGTGCTTTAATAACATGTTAATCATAGTGAACAATCTCTTTCACTCCAGAGCAAGACTATCCCCTCTTCTCCCTCCACTGGTCCTACATCCCCATCTGGGTGGAATTTTGCATTTTAAAGCAAATAGTCCGGATTTTTATTTATTTTTTAAAATTGTGTGTGTGCAGCTTTGGTTCAGGCTCGGGATCTGGTGGGGGCTACCTGGGCTCTGGCTCAAACAGCGATGGAGGGACTATTGGGCGATTGCCCTAAAAAAAACCTCAACTTTTTGTGTCCGGATTTTCACCTTTTGAAATATGGCAACCCTAACTTCAGGGACGCGGGTGGCGCTGTGGGTTAAACCACAGAGCCTAGGACTTGCTGATCAGAAGGTCGGCGGTTTGAATCCCCGTGACGGGGTGAGCTCCCGTTGCTCGGTCCCTGCTCCTGCCCACCTAGCAGTTCGAAAGCACGTCAAAGTGCAAGTAGATAAATAGGTATTGCTCCGGCAGGAAGGTAAACGGCGTTTCCATGCGCTGCTCTGGTTCGCCAGAAGCGGCTTAGTCATGCTGGCCACATGACCCGGAAGCTGTATGCCGGCTCCCTCGGCCAGTAAAGCGAGATGAGCGCCGCAACCCCAGAGTCGGCCACGACTGGACCTAATGGTCAGGGGTCCCTTTACCTTTACCTTTAACTTCAGGTCTATAAAAGAATGTAAGTGGACCCGTTCTGGATTAAACCAAAGGCCCATCTAGTTCAGCATATTGTTCTCACAATAGTCAGTCAGGTGCATATGTGACTCTCACATGCAGAATCAGAGTGCAAGACCACTCTTCCCCACTTGCAATTCCTAGTAACTAGTATTCAGAGGCATACAGCACCATATAAATGCCTTAAAGTCCATTTTGATTAACACTCTAATCATAAGATTATTTACACAGAGTATATTAATTTCCAGTGGTTTCCAAATAAGTATGTTTAGGATTTCAGCCTAAAAATGATTGTATCCATTTGAGAAGCTTAAGTGTGTTTTGTGTGTGTACAGAGCACACAGAACTTAGTGGTCATGGCTGTAGCTTTGCCCAAGCTGGAATATATTTGCATTGTGCCACGTTAATGGAATTTCTTTTGACCGTCCGTGAGGTTTTGTCTGCGCTTGCTTTTGGCAGAGCCCTGTATGTGCTGCATTGCTGAACGCAGAGGAACACAGCAGGAAACTCTGCCCATGATTCAAACTTGTCATGTAAAATGGGCTATGTGTCAAAAACACGTACAGCAGTGATTGTCACCATGGTTTGGCCCCCTCCTTTCTTAACAGAAATCCTAAAGAACTCTCCTGAGATCATTATATTCCAGAGTGGGCTTCTGCTTTGTTAGCTTCAGGTGCCAAATCCCAGCCTCCCACCGCATGCAAAGTGTTTCTTTGACAGTCCCTGCTTCTGTAAGTAGCTTATGCCTCATCTTGGATGACACAGAGAGGAAATATTTGTAACATGGTCTGTATAAATTTTTGAAGTATTTGCTTTGCACCACTTCTAAGCAGTAAGTTTCTTTTTAGTATTCCAAACATTAAAATGAATTCAAAATTGGTATTCCGATGTTGTTTGCATTAATCATTCTTCATGATTTTCCTGCTGTATCTGTTTCCTCTGAGGCATTAACAATTTCAAATGTTCATTTGCATGCATGTATTATCCTGTGCCCAAAAACTCACTGGATTTCACCGTGATTGAAACATCCAAACGTTAGATATCCCAGAGCAGAAAAGCTTATAGACTGAATCATGGTGCTGGCTTCAGAACAATGGATATATGCCAAAGTTGTAGATCACTGGAGCATGAATACTGAAATAGTCAAAGGACACATATCACAAGGCAGTTGTTTTTCTGTTTATTCCTTTATTCACTTAGTCTCAAGCCAGTTGCTGGCTTTAATCGTTTGCTTACCTTTTGAGATGCAGAAATAAATATGGTATACAGTAAATACACTAATGCAGTGAGAATGGAAGATTGGCCTGTTACACAGTCAAGTTATAATTGACATTTCAAAGAAATTGAACTCCAGCAGGGAAGCAATTTGAAAGCAATGACCTATTTTTTCCCCCTGCAGCAGCCTGTTTGTGTTCTAGGAATGCAGGGCTTCAAACAAATACTAATGATCATTGACAGACTGTGTCCCTGTTTGCTAACTCTGCTGCCTTCTTTTCTGCCCACTCTTAACATTTCCATAGAATCATAGACTTGAAGAGTTAGAAGGGACCCTGAGGGTCATCTAGTCCAACCCCCTGCAATGCAGGATTCTCAGCTAAAGCATCCATGACAGATGGCCTTCCAACCTCTGCTTTAAAACTTCCAAGGAAGGAGAGTCCACCACTTTCCAAGGGAGTTCATTCCACTGTCAAACAGCTCTAACTATCAGAAGGTTCTTCCTGATGTTTAGTTGCAATCTCCTTTCTTGTAAGTGGAAGCCATTGGTTCAGGTCCAGCTTTCCAGAGCAGGAGAAAACAAGCTTCCTCCATCGTCCATGTGGCAGCCCTTGAGATATTTGAAGATTGGTATCATCTCTTCTCTCAGCCTCCTCTTATCAAAGCTAAGCATACCCAACTCCCTCAACAGTTCCTCATAAAGCTTGGTTTCCAGACCCTTTATCATCTTGGTCACACTCCTCTGCATACGTTCCAACTTGTCAATTTCCTTTCTAAACTGGGATGCCCAGAACTAGACGCGGCGCTCCAGGCGTGGTCTGACCAAGGCAGAATAGAGTGGTGCTATTACTTCCCTTGACCAGGACACTATACTTCTGTAGATGCAGCCTAGAATAGTATTAGGGGTTTTTTGCTGCTGCTGCTGCTGCTGCTGCTGCTGCTGCTGCTGCTGCTGCTGCTGCATCACACTGTTGACTCACATTAAGCTTGTGGTCTACTAAGACCCCTAGATCCTTTTCTCCTATCTTACATTTGCGCAGCTGGTTATTCTTCCCTAAGTGTTGAACCTTACATTGTCCCTATTGAAATTCATTTTGTCAGTTTGGGCTCAGTTCTCCAATCTGTTATCTGCAGCACTCCTTTAATTCCTTCCTCCATGTCATTTATAAAATATGTTGAACAACAATGAGCTCAGGACAGAACCCTTTTGCACCTCAATTGTCCCTTTTTTTCCAGGATGTTGAGGAACCATTAGTGAGCACACTTTGGGTTCAACCAGCTACAACTCCACAAAATGGTTACCTTGTTCCAGCCCACATTTTACCTACTTCTCCATGAGACTATCATGGAAGACTGTCAGAAACCTGACTAAAATCAAGATACATCATGTCCTCAGCATTTCCCTGATCCACCAACCTTGTAACTCCATCAAAAAAAGAAATGAGATTCATCTGACATACCGTATTTTTCGCTCTATAGGACGCACTTTTTCCCCTCCAAAAATTACGGGGAAATGTGTGTGCGTCCTATGGAGCAAATGCAGGCTCCTTGGCTTCAGCGATAGCAACGCGAAGCCTCTGAAGAGCAGAGGGAGCACTCCCTCCCCCCTCCGGAGGCTACGCGTTGCTTTCGCTGAAGCCTGGAGAGCGAGAGGGGTCGGTGTGCACCAACCCTTCTCACTCTCCAGGCTTCAGGGATAGCCGTCTGAAGCCTTTGAAGCGCAACGGGACCACGCGCTGTGCTCCAAAGGCTTCAGGTCAGCAAAAGGAATCCGAAGCCTTTGGAGCACAGCGCGAGTTCTCGCTGCGCTCCAAAGGCTTCGGGTTCCTTTTGCTGAAGCTGGGAGAGCAAGACTCTCCCGGCTTCAGCAGAGAGGGAGAGCAGCGCAGCGCCCCTTCAGAGAAGCGGGAGGAGAAATGGAAGGGGCTCCGTTTCTCCTGCCGCTTCGCTGAAGAGGCGCTGAGCAGAGAGGGGGAGGGTTTTTTTCCTCTTTTTCTCCCCCTCCACAACAAGGTGCGTCCTATGGTTGGGTGCATCCTATAGAGCAAAAAATACAGTAACTTGTTTTTGAGAAATCCATGCTGGATTTCTTAGTAGACACAGCATCCTTTTCTAAGTGTCACAGACCAACTGTTGAATTATCTGATACCTTTCCCAGTATAAACATCAAGCTCACGGTTTGTAGTTACCTGGGTCTTCTCCCCACCCCCTATTTAGCTCATGCAGAGGGTGGTGATCATTGTGACGTTGGAAACTTAAGGGCTTGCTCTGTCACACCCTTTCCTCCACAAGGGTGTTGTTGCAGTGATTCCAGAAGAATGATACACGTGGAAGCTGTGCAGGAACTAAAAATCTGAATGCCTTTCTTAGAAAGGGCTCCTATTCATACAAGGTGCAGCAGTACAGTTCTCAAGCTAAGGCCTAATTTAGACACAACAACTTTGGGCCCAGAAACCATTGTTTATTGACTTGAATATGAGAACTTGCAAGTTCTTGGAAAGGAACTCACAGTCACTTTGCTTCTCCCCAGGTCTTTTTGTCCAACCCCGGGCTTGTGGTTAAGTTCTCTCCTCGCTAACCATGAGCTGTTAGTGGCTAAAGAGCTTTGGCTTTGTGTGATGTGTAAACTAGCTCAGTCTCTTGTATGTTGCATTCCATTTTGAATTACTGCATTCGCAAAACTCATCTGTGGGAAGGGTGTTCTGCTGAATTTTAATAGGATCAAAGCAACTTCTGGATCTTACAGATGACCAAGATCCTTCAGAGCTACATGTGAAGGGCTAACCTTTTTTAAAAAAAAACAACAACTACATAAACTTTTCTCCCTCACCACTGTCATTATTTCATGCATAGCTAGAAGGCATAGCATGTTAAAGAAGCCAGTTGCTGAAGTCTGCAGTAACTGGAGTTCTAAACAAGTCTACTCTGTTTTGAATTTGCCATTATGTAATATATCTTGATATTATACATAAATGAAGGGTGCTGTCCTGCTTGATTATTTAAAATTGGCGCATTTGCTTTTGTTTTCCGAGGGTTGTAGATTGCACATTTGTTCCCAGCAGAGTTCATTAAGTTCATGATTGGATAATAGAGGCTTCTGTTAGCAAAACAAAAGCTGAGTTTCTTTTAGCAACAAATGTTTGTCAAGGATGTACAAAGCATGTGCTAAAAATATTAAAATTATGTGACAGTATAAATTACAAAAGTGAAATAAATGGCTTCCCTCCCTGTGCTCATTTTGCATACTCTAGTCAATTTGGTTTCCTCTGGATATGGAGAGAGGGAAGGGGCTCTGATGGACACTGATAATTTTAAGGCTCTACCTAGTTCTCCCCACCACCTCTTGATAAGTCATCACATATTGGTTGAGTGCATTCAAGCCTGCCATCACAGCCATAAGATCTAGAAATTTATGCTTAAGAAGAAACAAAGCTGAGGTTCTCAGGATGCTGAATTGGGGTTCATCTATCATGCATCTTCCTTTTGTCAACATGAGCCTTGCCACACATTCTTGGTTACTAAAAACATATCAGACATATTAGCTGGTTAGTAGCTTTGCATTGGTGCAGATTTTTCCCTGTTAGCAATGGATTGTGGGCAAAGGCTTTTTCTTGAGGCTTTTTCTTGAGCAGCTTTTTAGCACAGGAGAAATTGCCACCCCATTTTAATCACTTCAAAACAAACATATTTAGAACAGTGGCAAGATTTCTCTTTTTGACCAGCTGTTTGTTCCATTCCTTGTGACCAAAAATATATGTTTTTCATCTGTCTCCTTCAAGACCTTGAGAGTTACTTGCCTGTAAACACGACAGTTTTACAACCAGCTTGTACACAATTGCAGTGGAATTAAGCAGAAAGAGAATCCTTATGCAAGATTAGATGCAGCATCGTGCCTTTGATGAAAATTCATTTGCCTTGTTTAGAAACGTTAATCTGTTCCTCAAACATACTAGGACAAATCTCCTGAGCCATGCTGGTCTTGTATCTCTCTTGCCAGTAGAGCTTTTCTGATATTTCCCCCCTGAAGTCGAAAGGACTGTTACCGTGGAGGAGTGGGTTGTGTAGTTTGTCATAGTGGTTTCTTGGGCCTTATGCATCATGGTTAGGAATTTTAAAAAACAACAACGAGTATTTTAGAATAAAGTTGAAGAGCCTCTTTTTCAGAGAAAATGGGAGACGAACCAGAGGTGACAACTTGAATAAAATATTGAGTGCTGGGCAGGTAAGCCCCACCCTGATCATTTGCTCCTGCAGACAGTCCATTTGCCTCCATTGGTGTCACTTCCCATCCCCAAGCCCGGCAACAGAGCAGCGGTGGGCAGGGGAGGGAGGGAACTGGGGAGTGTGCGAACAAGTGCTGGCTGGCAGCAGTGTTCTTCAAGGCACTTTCTCACCGAGGAGGAGCAATGGCAATGCCCATAAACTTGGTGGGGGGGCTGGCACCCTCAAATATTTTATTGGGGAGCTGAAAGGATGTGGACCCCTTATGAGTTTGCTCCCTTGAGCTGAGCTTTCTTCTATAGCAGGGATGTCCAACCAGATGATTGTGATCCACCTGTCAACCGTGGGGTGTCTGTGGTCATGGTTGATCGTGTGGTCCTGAGCAAACCCCCCCCCCCAAAAAAAGCTTAAGCCTCTCCCCAAAAAGCTCAACAATTCTGGACAATCCAGTGAGTAGATCACTGCTAGTTTTCTTATAGTGGGAGTAGATTTCTGTCTCTTGGAAGTTGGATTTGCCTGTTCTATAGGTAGCAAGAGGGAAGTACTTTAATTAGTTGAGGGTTAATAAATTAGATGCAACTATTGTCAGATTCTCCCCCACCAAAAAATAATAATCATGAGAATTTAAAGTTGAAGGAATTTCTTATTTATAGAACTAATGCTGATCTATTGAGCTTCACAACCAGTAGACATGCCCTTGTCAACTGAAATTAGCAAATTCTAATGTCACTCTGCTCTAGTCCATTGTTCTTCAACTGGTGGGTCATGGCCTGATCTAAGGTGTCACAACAGTGGCACTCGCAGCATGCAAATAGATGGTAAAGAATTAAGAAACAAATCCCATAAGGCATGTTTGTGTTAAAGATAGGTCCCCGATCTGAAAAGGTTAAAGGCTACTGGTCTAGTGGACCCAGGTTATTCTTTTAGGCTCCAGCCCATCTATGAGGATTAGAAATCATTCTATATTCATCATGAGGTATGCTCATTCTGGCAGTTTGTACGCAGAAGTTGGATAGGTTGGATGTAGTCTGGAAAAAGCAAGTAGCAGGTGTAGTGGTGTAGCGTGGGTTGCCAGGGTCGTGCGGAGAGTGGGAGGTGGGAAATGGATGGAGTACGCATGTACATTGAACTGCCTAATGGCATTTGCGTCAGGAGATTGCAGCTGTAGAGATAACAAGAGTCATTCCATTGTCTGGAGAGGTCACTTCCTAGTTTGCATGGAGAAACCGTTTTCAGTGGAGTCCAATGATGGAAGTGTGCATTGGTATTGAGGCAGCGCTGGGTGTTGAAATTTTGCACCCCTAACAATTTTGTGCCTGGGGCAACCGCTCCCTGTGCCCCCCCCCAAATGCTACGCCACTGAACAGGTGAAACCTTGAGTTGTCAGCAAGCTTAATGCTGAAATGATCCGACTGTGAGATTAACATTTCTGCAGTTTGACAAGCTGTCATGTGATTCTTTACCGTTGAAACCTTGCTATTCTCTTATCATATTTCTGTGTTGTGCAGTGGCTTAACTTGTCTAGAATATAATCTCTGTGACAAGGATGGATGGGAGTCAAATTTGACTTTGAAGCCCAGCATGTTTGTAAGCATCCCACTGTCTTCATTGATACCTGTAAGAGGTACATTGGTAGAGGCATAGTCATTGAAGGTGTATACAGTCAAACCTCGGCTCCCGAACACCTCCGTTATCGTATGTTTTGGCTCCTGAATGCCGAAAACTCAGAAGTAACTGCTCCGGTTTTCAAATGATTTTGAAACTTCCAGGGAGTTTTTCCCCCCTTTTTTCTCCATTGACTTTTCTGACCGCCCTTTGATCCTCAGTTGTCGAACGTTTTGAAAGTCGAACGGGATTCCGGAATGGATTATGTTCGACAACCAAGGTTTGACTATGCTATACAGTGGTACCTCGGGTTACATACACTTCAGGTTACAGACTCTGCTAACCCAGAAATAGTGCTTCAGGTTAAGAACTTTGCTTCAGGATAAGAACAGAAATCGGGCTCCGGCGGCACGGCAGCAGCAGGAGGCCCCATTAGCTAAAGTGGTGCTTCAGGTTAAGAACAGTTTCAGGTTAAGAACAGACCTCCGGAATGAATTAAGTACTTAACCCGAGGTACCACTGTATATGATTCTCAACTTCATATGTTACAGAGGGTCCCTACATATTTCCACTTTAGAGCTTGAAATCCCAGGCTGTCTTCTCTGCCTATGTGGTCTTTGTATATGCAGCCATCATATATTAACGTTTTGACCTCGCAGTTCTGACTGCTTTAAAATCTCTCCAGCCCAATTCTGTGCATATCTTGTCCAGAAGAAAGTTCTCCTAAGTTCAGCAGGTCCCTCTTTCTGATAGAGTTTGCAGCTAATGCAGCCAAGTTGGAGAAAAGCCCACCTGACCTTTAGCAGCTGCATGAAACTTTCCACAGCAAGCTGATAAACAGTATCATCTACCCTATCAAGATGTAGTTAAAAGCACTTCAATACTGGCTGGATAAAAAGTCACTGACCTTCGCCTTTCTTACAGGGCCAGGCAGACATCCGCAGCCTGGGGAGTTCCCGCAGGGCTCCCTAGGCTGCGGATTGCAGCCTGCTGCACGGAGCGCAGGGC